AACACATAAATCAAATAAAATCGGGTAAGGAGAAGAAGTCGATAAACCCTAGTTGTTTTTTTAGGAAAAACAAATATCAACGGAATATACACAAAAATAGTAGCATAGGATGAATATAGACACAAATAGTACTCAAAATCAGAGAATCAAACCAATTTTGGCTCGATTTTAAGAGATCTGCAAACCCTAGTTTTAGGGTAAGTAAGAATCAACAAAAATACACAAATATTCGTACTCACAATAGAACAAAAGATGAACATATAGACAGAATAGTAGAAAGATCAGTGATTTGAACCTATTTTGGTTCGATTTTGATGAGATTTGCATGTCATATTTAGTCAAACACTATAGAAGAGTAACCAGTACCAAGAGGAGGTCATATATGCCAAGTAGTAGCCATGGGATCCCATATATGACGGGATTAGGAGAGGATTTAGGGGGGCGGCTGCCAGGGTTCTTAGGAGGGAGAAAGGAGGTGAGGGATATTAGGGCGGCGGACAGTGGAGAATGAAATTAGGGTTGGGTGTTTGGGTAGTTAAAGGGGAGGGTTTGATATGGGCCATTGATCTCAGAGATCAATGGCCACGATTAAAAGGTAGTTGGGTCGGGTAATTAGAAACGGGTCGCGACCGGGTTATGGGTGGGTTAATTTTGTTTGGGTTGCAGTATTTGGGCCAGCGTATTAGGTATTTTGGGCCATTTATTTGGTCCGAAATGGGTTTAAAAATGGGGCTAGTTTTAAATACCCAACATTTATCAAAAAATAATTTATAAAAGCGATTAATAAATTAAAAAAATATTATTTGTGCACTAAGAAGATTAAAATTAGTAACTTAACATTATAAAAAGTATAAAAAGTTATTTTGGCATAAATAAGGTAATTATATATGAATATAGGCTATTATTGCAAAAATATGCAATTAGCTAAAAAATGCAAATGTGATTATAAAAAAAATAAAGTAAAATATTAAAATATACATGTTGGTGTAAATAATAAGTTTGGATGATTAAATCATCATAAAAAATAATTTGAAGGATAATTATTGGATATTTATACAATAAAATGCGGAAAGAAATTAATTTAAAGCCTTTAAAAATTATGAAAAATTATAAAAAAAATGCTTGTATAGGTTTATAAGCTATATGATGATGCAAATATACTATTTTGATATATATATATATATATATATATATATATATATATATATAATATGTAATCTGTCTCTCGCAAGTAATCTCTGTCTCATGATCAACCAGCCTATGAAACAGTGTTTTGGAATATTTAATCTATTCCAAATCCATATTGCATATGGACATTTAAGTGATGCTCCTCTTCTCCATTGGTTTCCTTCATTTATTGTGTATGTCACGACCCAATTCCATTTTAGACCGTGATGGCGCCCAGCATCGTTGCTAGGCAAGTCAACAGTGAACAATCTAGTGATTTCCCATTTTTATAAGTATTTCAAGTAAATAACTTTCCTTAATTTAAAAGATTTAATGAATGACGGATTGAAATAATCAAAACAAAAGCAGCTAAATGCAATCATAACCGCAGAAATACAACCAAAAATCATGAGTCTACTAGTGTGTGCCAAGACCCGGTGTCACAAGTGTATGAGCATTCTAGTAGAATATACAAAAGAATACTAGTCTACTGTCTGAAATGAAATAGACAGAAAAATATAACAAAAGGAAGACTTCGAGTGCTGCAGAACGTCTCGGAAGGGCAGCTTACCGTATAGTCTCGTGCCCGGAGTCAAGCGTGCGCGCCAAACTGATAACCAGATGTACCTGCTTCAGATCCTGCACAATTAAGTGCAGAAGTGTAGCATGAGTACATAAACAACATGTACCCAGTAAGTATCCAGTCTAACCTCGAAGAAGTAGTGACGAAGGGTCGACTTTGACACTTACTATGGGCTAACAATGATATATAAAAATTATATACTAAGCTTGGATTACATGAATAATACAGAAAGCTCACTAACAGGAAATAGAAGTTACTCCTTTCGCAAATATTAAGTCCCAAGTTTAGCTTCATCATTTAATAGTTTGTATCTCAAGGCATTTAAGCAATATCAATTATGGATAGTTCCAAAGATTTATCATGCGCAAGTTATGTCGAGGTCGTACGGCCCGATCCAACATAATATTTAAACTGTGCACTGCCGAGGGTCGAACGGCACGAACCAAAGATGCATCTATCTGCTACCGAGGCGTTTGGCCCGCTCCACAAATAGAAAACATTTTAAAGAAAACACAAATTCTCTTTAACAGTCAAGTGTTCTATTCACAACTTCAAGTAAGTGAATTTAACCTTTTACAATTCTTTTATAAATTTTCAATATGATTTAAACAATTACTCGGAGCATTTCCCGGTTGTTATGGGATTACACCAAGGCTCTGCGCTTAGCCTGTTCTTATTTGCCTTGGTGATGGATTCTTTGACACACAATATTCAAGGGGAGGTGCCATGGTGTATGTTATTTGCTGATGACATAGTTCTATGACGAGACGAGGGTCGGTGTTAACGAGAGATTGGAGGTTTGGAGACAGACTCTCGAGTCTAAGGGTTTCAAATTGAGCAGGTCTAAGACAGAGTACCTGGAGTGCAAGTTTAGAGCTGAGTCGAGGGAAGTAGGCGGGGACGTGAGGCTTGGGTCACAGGTCATCCCCAAGAGAGATAGCTTCAAGTACCTTGGGTCGGTGATTCATGGGGACGGAGAGATCGACGAGGACGTCACTCACCGCATAGGGGCGGGCTGGATGAAATGGAGGCTTGCATATGGAGTCTTGTGTGACAAGAAAGTGCCACCGATACTCAAAGGTAAGTTTTATAGAGTTGTGGTTAGACCGGCCATGTTGTATGGGGCAGAGTGTTGGCCGGTTAAGAACTCCCATATCTAGAGGATGAAAGTAGTAGAGTGTGGATGCTGAGGTGGATGTGTGGGCACACTAGGATAGACAAGATTAGGAATAAAGATATTCGAAAGAAGGTGGGCGTTGCCCCTGTGGATGACAAGATGCGGGAAGCGAGGCTCAAATGGTTCGGGCACGTGCAGAGGAGAAGTCTTGATGCACCGGTGAGGAGGTGTGAGCGGTTGGCCGTGGTGGGTACGAGAAGAGGTAGGGGGAGACCTAAGAAGTATTGGGGAGAGGTGATCAAGCAGGACATGGTACGACTGCAGATTTCCGAGGACATGGCCCTTGATAGGAAGGCCTGGAGGTCAAGCATTAGGGTTGTAGGATAGGGGTAGCAGAGCTTTCCTTACTTCATACCGGGGGTGAGGCGGGGTTGGATTAGGGTTGATCTTAGATGGCTTGCAGTTTATGTTGAACCCACACTATTCTTGCTGTTTATATTAGACCCGGGCCTTAGACTCTGTTACTATAATGGTTTCTGCTGGAGTTACTAATGAATTCTCTTTTCTTGTTTTTTATTTCCGTCTTTCTGAGCCGAGGGTCTATCGGAAACAGCCTCTCTGCCCTATCGGGGCAGGGGTAAGGTCTGCGTACACATTACCCTCCCCAGACCCCATTATATGGGATTTTACTGGGTAGTTGTTGTTGTTGTTATTGATTTAAAAAATTAAATTAACAAGTAGGGGTGCAAACATTTCAAGTATAACATGGTATGGGTCCTAAACTACCCGGACAATAGCATAATTAGTAGCTACGTACGGACTCTCGTCACCTCGTAGTACGTAGCCCCCACAAATTGGAGCATGTATTAATTATAATTCACCTGTTGAGTTAATTCGCTCTTACAAGGTTAGAAAAGAGACTTACCTCGTCTCAAAGCCTACTTTCCGGTCCAAGATTTGTGCTCAAACCCTCAATTCGGTGTCGAACAATCCAAAACTAATCAAATAGTATATAAAATAATCAATACATGCTCACAAGTCCATATCCCAACTATTGAAGTGATTACCCAACCCTAAATGCAAGATTTCTAAAATTCACCCCCAGGCCCACGCGCCCGGATTCCGGAAATTTTTGAAGAAAGTTGTTACCTATAATCTCATGAACTCAAATATATGATTTTTACTAAACTCCATAACCAATTTCATGGTTAAATCTCATTTTTATCAAAAACCTAGGTTTTCACCAAAACCCATAATTTTTACTAATTTACATGTTATAATCTACCCATAAACTATGCATTTAACTCACATTGTATAGAAATTACTTACCTCAAAGTGCTAAGTGAAATCCCCTCTCTAAGAGCTCCAAGAATCGCCCAACAATGGAAGAAAATGAGTCAAAATAGCCTAAGTCCCGTTTTTTAAAATGTTTCTGCCTAGGTTTGCTTTCATCGCGATCGCAGAAGAAGCCTCGCAATCACGAAGGAAAACAGCCCAGGCCCAGGAAATTTACCCATCGCAAATACGACAAGAGCATCGCGAACGCGGAGGCTTGCTTGGCCTACCCTATGCGAACGTGAAGAATGATCAGCGGCCACCAGCTCAGCCTCCTCTACGCGAACGCGGGCCAGGTCACACGAATGCGAAGGCTAGAGGACCCAGAGCTTCGCGAACACGATCCTGCTCACGCGAATGCAAAGGGAAAAAGCCCCCAGCCTACAGTACCCCAAATCCTCCATCACGAACGCGAATGTCTGACCGCGTTCGCGAAGAAGGAAACCAAAAGTAGAAATCTAGTGTGTCTCAACTCAATTCCGGGCGGTCCGAAACGCACCCGAGCCCCTCGGGACCCCGTCCAACTACTCCAACAAGTCTATAAACATAATACCAACTTGCTCGAACTCTCGAAACGCGTAAAACAACAACAAAACCAAGAATCACACCCCAAAACCAAATTGAATCAAAATATGAACTTCAAGTTTCCAAATCACTCCGAACGCGTCGACTCATACTTAGACTACTCGGAATGACGCCAAATTTAGCGTGCAAATCTTAAATTACATTACGAAACTATTATCGGTCTCGAAATTCCGTTTGGACCTCGATATCACCAAAACCTACTCCAAACCAAATTTAAAAAACTTCAAAAAACTTCAAAGAACCAATTTTCACTATTAGGCGCCAAAACGCTCTCGGGTCATCCAAAACCGGATCTGAACATACGTCCAAGACCGAAATCATCATATGAACCTATTGGAACCGTCATATTTGATTCCGAGGCCGTTTGCTCAAAATGTTGACTGAAGTCAAACTTAGCATTTTTAACCAACCTTAAGCAACCAAGTGTTTCGATTTCAACTCGAACCCTTTCAAATCCCGAACTGACCATCCCCGCAAGGCATAAAATAGTAAAAGCATGTATGGGAAGTCTTATTTAGGAGAACGGGGTTCTAGAAAGAAAAACGACCGATCGGGTCGTTATAGTGTACCCCTTCATTTGCCCCTTCCACCCTTTTTGTTCAAACCCTGCAGCAAAGGTTGTTTAGATATCACATATTTTCTTTCAATACTATGCACTATCTTGTGGTGGTTTGTATTGCTACCAGTCCTTGCCCTTTATGTATATGTGATTTACCTATTTAACCGATAATGAATCACTTTTTTGCTCTATATTCCATACGTACTTTGCCAATGCTGCTTCATTCCATACCAAGTAGTCTTGTATACCTAATCCACCCTCTCTTTTTGTTCAGCAAATTAGGTCCCATGCTACCAGTGGGGATTTGCTCGTGACACTTTTCTCATCCCATAAATAGTTCCTATATATAGCTACAATGTCCTTCATGACCCTTTTTGGTAGTAGGAAGTTGGATGCCCAATATGAGCGTAGATGCAGCAACACTGTATTTACCAATTGAGTTCTCCCTGCATACGATAGGTTTCTGGATCCCCATCCTTTTATCTTTACTAGTATCTTGTCTATCAATATTTCACAATCTACAGCACTTAGTTTCTTTGAGGATTTAGGCACTCCAAGATATTTAAATGGAAATTTGCCTCTCTTATATTCTGTCAGCTCAAATATATCTTCTTCTATCTCTCTACCATTCATGTTAGCATAGAAGATGTTCAATTTATTTACATTAACAGTCGTACTAAATGCACTCGAGAATGATTTGAGCCCCCTTAGCATGAGCATTACTGATGGATAATCTCCTTTACTGAATAGTATCATATCATTAGCAAAATAAAGGTGTGTCAGCTTCAATCATTTGCATTTTGTATGAAAAGAAAATTCTTCCTGCTTAGCCACATGCACCATGATGCGCGTGAAATATTCCATACAAATAACAAACAGTAAATGAGAGATTGGATCCCCTGCCTTAATCCTCTCTTCCCCTTTATTTTGCCATAGCACCCACTATTTAAGTTTATATTTTAACTAGTTGATGTGATACATTCCATAATCCACCTTATGAAGATCCTAGGAAAGTTCAGTGCATGCAACATTTCCTCCACAAACTTCCATTCAATGGAATCATATGCTTTTTTTAATTCCACCTTGATCAAGCAACTCTTAGTGGTTTGTTTCCTATTGTATAATCTGACCAAGTCTTGAAAAATCAATATGTTCTTTACTATTGTTCTTCCAGTCACAATGGCACTTTGATTTTGTGATATGATGTCTGGCAGCACCAATTTCAAACTATTACACAGCATTTTTGAGATTATCTTATACACCACATACAGCATGTTGTAGGTCTATAATCTTCAACTGTTGTAGCATGAGAAGTTTTTGGTATAAGAGTGATCATTGTACTGTTGAGAGCTTTGAGCATTTTCCCAGATTGAAAAAATTCCAGCACAGCTACAGTGACATCCCCACCTACAATGGTCCAGGTATCCTTGAAAAATTGGCTGCCATACCCATCAGGGTCTGGTGCCTTTGTCCCTTCTATATCCCATAGTGCTTCTTTAACTTCCTTTTGTGAAAACTCTCTTATTAATTGGATCCTTTGTTCTTCTGAAACTGTCTACCCTTCTTTGACTATGTGGCTTGCCACATGATCTCTGCTCTGCCGGTCAGTGCCTAGTAGCCTTGCATAGAATTCACTAAAAGCATCAGCTACCGCATATGTTGATGGAACTGTTTCTCCTTGCAAGTTCTAAATTGTGAATATCCTGCTTGCTGCTCTCTTTGCCTTGATCACCGAGTGAAAATAGCTTGTGTTCATGTCTCCATATTTGATCCATTGTATTTTACTTTTCTGCTGCAAGTAGTTTATTTTTGCTTCCTTCCAGTATATGTATTTCTTCGTCAACTCTTTCTCCTCTTTGAATAGCAGTTCATTCCTGGGTCCCTTTTGTATTTTCTCTTGACACTCTACCAGCTTTTTCATGCTTTCATCTTCCTGTTTCTCCACTTCTGCAAACTTGTCTTTATTCAACTTTAGCATCACTTTTTTAAGTCTGTTTAATTTTCCCACAACTTTGAACATGCTTGTCCCCTTTGTTAGTTGTCTCCAGCTACCCTCCACTCTTGTCATGTAGGAATTGTCCATGCTCCACATGTTGTAATATCTGAATATCCTTATGTTAGGAGTACCAGTTCCCTCCCATTTGATCATTACAGGACTATGATCATAATGAACCTCATATGCTGGCAACTTATTCACCCTGTCAATCCTGTTTAGTACTCTATCTGGTCCATCTTGTTTGTTGCTCCATGTATAAAAACACCCCGATGATTTCAGTTCTTTTAGTCCACATTGCTCAACGCATTCCTTAAACTCCTTTATTTTTACATAACTCACCTTACTTCCCACTCTATCCTCTTGATTGAGTATAGAGTTGAAATCTCCCATAATTTCCCATGCCCCTAGCACTTGATTAGCTATAATCGTTATGTCTCTCCACAAACCAGACCTTAGTGCTGGATCATTGAATTCATACACCATTATCACATTAATCACCTTACTTGTGCTACTGTGAGTAATCATACTATGTATAAGCTGTTCTGTCACCTTTTCCACTTTTATAGTAAAGATCTGAGGCTTCCACAATAGACAAATTCTACCTGCATTATGTTTAGAGTGATTTGTAGTATAAGACCACCCTGTGCAAAGATTAAGAGAAGCTTGATTTGCCTTAGCCCTCTTAATTTTTGTTTCCAGGAGCCCAAACAGTCCAACATGTTGTCTTTGAAGGAATAGGTTCAATTCCTTCTGCTTGGTTGTCCTGTTTAGGCCTCTGGTGTTCCAAAAACTAATGCTATCCACTAGGGAGGTGGGGGTTAAGTCCCCATCCTTCCTTGATTTATTACCGTTTCCTTATGATTCCATCTGCTTGCCATTAGACTGCTCCTCACCTTCATTCCTCTCATTATTCCTCTTGTTCAGTTGTGTTACTGTAGCATAGGTGCTTTGATTGTTTCCCCGACCCTTCCATGATTTTTTTCCCTGTACCACTTTCCATGCTTCCTGCTCTTTTTTGCTATTTCCTGCCTCATTCTTAATTCCTTGTGTCTCCTGCTGCTTGTCTTTAGTACTGCCATTTTCAATTGAGTGATGTTACTTGCTTCAATGTTCTGTTGTTGCTCAAATGGTCCCTCCCCCTCCTTGGATCTATCTGTATTCCTTCTATTGCCTGATTCCCTATTAATTTCCTCCCCCACTTTGGTCTGCCTTAATTGCTTCCTACATTCTTTGATATAATGTCCAAAGTTGCCACATGATTTACAAAATACTAGTTTCCATTCATAACTAACCTCTTGCTCCATGATCACTCTACATTCATTCTCAAACATCACCATATCTGGATACATCGGTTTGGTTCTACTTCAACCAGAATTCTTGCATATTGCAACCTCTCCTTTTGTGTTGTTGTTCTGTCTGCTTTCAGAGGATTGCCCAACATTCCTTCTATTTTTGTTAGATTATTTTGTCCCCAGTATTTAATATCCAGGTTCATCAATCTAATCCACACAGGAATTTTATCAACCACCTGCTTGTCAAGTCCAATATCAGGTCTCCATACCATTGGTTTTTTGTCGAACGTTCTAATTCTTTCCTCCACCGTCTTTTCCTTGTTCTCCATTGAGTTAAATCTTACTATGAAAACACCCCTATTTACTTGAGCTATTTTATCAATTCCCGGTAATCCCATACTCTTTTAAAGTAGCCCTCCATAATTGTTTGTGATGGATTTGAACCCAGCACGTAACAAATTACAGCAGATCTCCAGTAGATTATCTCATCTTTTATGTCTTCCATTGTAATTTTTACATTTTCTCTCAATTGCTCCCCTTCCTTCCTGGTTAGGTCATACCCTTCACTCTGTTCTCCTTTTCCTACAATTCCACTCCAATTCTCCCATAATGTTTGTGCCTTTGCATGGCTTTATTTTCCTACTGATTCCGTCTCACTTCCCTCTTCCTCCATTAGATCTGCCCACGATTTCATTGCCGGCGCGTTCTCCACCCTTGTTGATATCGATGCCATAGTTCTATCCAAGTCTAATGGATTTATTCCTCGTATTGCATTGACATTTTGGAATTTCTTTGCCTCTGATGATTGTGGAACTTTTTTTAGATCTCTTCCTGTTTGTGGTAAGTTGTACGATACTCTCTTCTCCTCCAGATTTTGCCTTCCTCGCCATATCAGCTACTACTGAGAGGAGAGCTCATGTCTAGAGAGAGAAAGTTTTTATTTTACATCATATTGCATGTTATGATATCTCTTAACCATAAATCCTATGCAGAAATGAAGTGAAAGAGTTAATCAGATAAAAAGTAAAAAGGCTTGGATGACATTATTAAGGAGGAAGGATTAGTGTATGTGGAGTTCAAGACAAATGAAAAGTATTGGACAAAAATTAAGGAAGTGTTATTTATAAGACATTGAATAATTGGAGGTTATGGATTTGAAAAGTCATAACTCTCTATGAAGAGGTGTGAATGAGTTACGTTATGGTATGGATTTTTTTAACAATTTAAATGGAAAAAATAAAAGGAAAAAGTCAAAAAAAATGAGAAAAAAAGATAAAAAAGGATTTCTACACTATAGAGATGCCACATCACCTCCTTCATATCCCTCCTTTATGTATATACTAGTGAAGTTGCCCGTGCTTCGCGCCAGTATAAAAGATATCATCGGTGAATTTACAACATAATGTTTTTGAAAACTTATTTATACTCTTCCGTAAGGAAAGCTCTTGTCATTCATTATTTCACCTTTTTGGGCTGAATGAGAGTTTTGCATTAACTATGAGGGAAATCCCAGCAAAAAAGGTACGATTACGCCGTAAAGGAGCAAAAAGGGCCCTTCTAAAGCTTCATGAGATGTCTTCTTTATCTAACCTAACATTCCACTGAATATTTCGATAACCAATTTAAACATTGTGATTATCTTCTTTTTTTGAAACAGTAGAAGAAATACGGGTAGACCATGTTGTAGCATAAGTTTATGTATATAGTGGATATTGTACCCCCATCAAATTTCATATTCTGAAGGGTTAATGAACAATCACAAATAATTATGATACATCAACAATGCTTCTTGTTTGCTCAAAAGTTATTACATACCTTATGAGTATAAAATAATATAAATAAATCACAGAAAAATCATAGCAAACCGTAATAATCCGTTGGACCAAATGAAGGAAACGAAAATAAGTACTAAGGGTTAGGGGAGAAACATTAGAAGCCTTTATTGATAATATTGGTTTGGTCTGCCTCTCCATGAAGAGGTTCAGAGCCTTACAATGGTGTTCCTCTTGCCCATAATATGGGTATCGTTGTCTCTTTTTTCTCTCCCAATAGTGGCGAAGAAGAAGTCCCCCTTTCTAGGGTTTCCTCTCTTGGTATTTATAGCTGTGAGCTTCGTGAGCTGGCAATAAGTGGCCGTGACCACGTTGGGATTTCGCCTTCATGGTGGCGGATGGGCCGTGGCCTTGTTGCTCGAATCAGATGAGGGTTGAATATCGTTAATTCTGAGTGGTCGTACCACTAATTAATCATGAATTAGCTTAAGACGGGATTAGCTTCGTTAATTATCGTGGGGTCGGATTCTGACCCATACAGTTAGTCCCTTCGCTTATTGAGGTCAGGCCTTGGCCGAGCTCGATGAGTGGATTCCATCGATTGTAGTTTGAGAAACTCGGATAGGGAGGTCGACCATTGCTGCGGTCGAGGCCGAATTACCTTTGGCGATGGCCCTTAGCCTTGTAGAGTATTAGTGTTTTGTTATTGTGCTATCAAGTCGCCGTTCGATCGAAGTTGGACTCTCCTCCTTGGCGAAGGTACTTGACCCTTTAACTTAATTCGAGTGAGGTCGAGCTTTGTTGTGCTCTGATCCTTACGTTTGTTTGGGAGCATACCCGTCTACCATGGCGGACGGATCGTATGTAGTATGGCCGAGGGGAGTAAGGGCATGCTCGATACATGTTTGGCAGCGTCCAAAATTTTGAGGGCGCGCGGAATATCTCCTCAGCGTTCATAAGTCGTTACAACCATTTCGAGGGCGAGACGCCGGTTGGCGACTGAAAAGCTACTTCATGGAGCTTGTCATAATGACGCACGTTTCTGTAGAATCGAACCGGTGTGCGGTTGGTCATGTAGTTAATGGTGGCTATTGGGGTTCATGAAAGCCACTTGCGTTGCCTATAAAAAAGAGCTGAGGCATTCATTTTTCATATTCTCATTGTTTGTCTGAGAGAGATTCTGAAGAAGCTTTTCTTCCTGCTAATTCACCTTCATCTTTGTTCTTCGATTGACGTAACTTCCGTCTTCGTCCCTCAAACTTTGTTTCTTTCTCGTTATCGAATCAACAATGGCAGGCAGTTCTTCCCAAAACGTTCTTCCGACGAATCTTCCGGTTAACTCTCCGGTGACTGAAGAGCCATCTCCGGCAATGGGCGGTGCAGAACTGGTGGAGACTGATGAAGTTCCATCGGTTGACGAGATAGTATCTCTGCCCGGAGGTCCGATGACTGATTTCACTGCCGATGGCGGGGAGGATCAGGTGGATAAAGCCCCATTAATGGGGGAGATTGGGATAGCCCAACTACGGAAACAAGGGGTCATCCCCAGCTACGCTGACGTCGTTCTTGCTAGAAGCGAGGAGAGGGTCCACGCTGACCGCAGGGGATACTGCGTTTTCTGCGCCTATCCCTCCAAGTTGGGGTTTAAGCTCCCGCTCCCAATGCTAGTGGTTGATTTTCTGTCGTTATTACGGGGTATGCCCGGGTCAGCTTACTCCTTCTCTTTATAAATTATTAGCAATGCTCATCAAATACGCAGAATTAGCTGGTAGGGAGGTCACGCTGCAGCATGTGCTTAGCCTCTACGCTCCCCAGAGAGTTCGCGGTACCATGATTCGAGCGTGCCCTCGCGGGACGAGGGGCCTGACTACAAAACTGGATGACGAGGTCGACCCTCGCCCTTTTGAGCACTTTTTCTACAACAGGACTGAACATTTAGTGGTGTGCTCTACTGGGTTCCCAGAGGCTTGGAATCATGCACGTAAGTTCTTTAATCGTCAAATTCCCTTTTCCGCCCCTCATTACGTCTTGTGCTCATAAACATTAACTCGTATCAATTTTGCAGCCGAAAAGTTGTCGCCGACTCCGTTAGCTGGGATTCGCGGATGGGTCGAGGCCGTGCTCCCCTATACGGTGGGGATACGCACATGGGCGTCTTTCTGGAGAAGCATGGCCGTAGGCCTGCGGCAGGTAAAAAATTAATTTCTTCTGTTCCGCTTTGTTTCAACTCTATTCATCAACTTTGTTTTTCTGTGATCAGGGAGGGCACGCCGCATCAGGGCCCCTCAGTTGGCCTTCCGTCGGCCGGGTGCAATTGCTCGACTTACTGCGGCGCCGGTGTCGCGCCCAATATCGAGGGCGGCATCAGTTGAATCTTCAGCGGTTCCTTCTCCAGCACGGGCCGCACTTCGGGATGAGG